TAATACACTAACCTCATATTTCCGTCAGCTTTAGTTTTCTCTACCTTCTACATTCCCATCGACAGCATTTCTAAATGAAACCGTAACCGATCGCAATTCAAAGTTTGATCGTTTAGTTTTTTCAAATCCTGATTGTCTGGTCTTTTCCTCGTCTCGATGATGTCATGATTTGTGCCGAGATTGTATGTGTTTTGCCGGTTTCGCTCTCTTGAGAGTCCGTAATTACAGATGACAACCGCAGATCCGCAGCAACGACAGTTTGCGCTGTTCCGTAAATTTAGCATTGAAGTGCGACCACCGCTAATGGTGCAACGAGATGAGCGAATCCGGTCAATGACGTGCTCATTTGAAGAGATTACTGAGTCAGAGGAGGAAGATAATCAGGTGGGAAAATGGTCACTGAAAAGAACTTCATCTATTTTTTGAAAAGCTGTAAAATTGAGGTCACTTTTTAAAAGTCCACCATACCATTTGGTTCGCACTTTGATTATAAATCTCAAAATCAGCTTTTCAGATCCCAGAACGAATTTCACCCGGAGGACGCTCACCATTTGCAGTCATAGGCGAATCCCCGTTTGCCGAAAGACGCGCAGCCTCCCCGCAAAACCGTAACTCAACCTATGCAAGGTACGCAAATGCGCCAAAGCGAAAATCCGGTAACACAATTTCTTGTCTAGAAAACTCGCCGTACCTCGACTGTGTCGTGGATATTCGGATCCGGGCCTACGTCGACGACCGGCTATGCTTGGATCATTGAGTCCGGATCGACATGACGTTGGATCGGATTTATTGAGTGAGTTATATTGAACTGAATTTTGTAAGGCTTTGAAAAATTTTGGCGTCTTCGTTTGAGAGGTACACAACTACAGTTTGTTATCATATAGAGCAAAGTAGAGCAACTTTGAGTACTCATGATTTGTATATTTTAGCCCTTCCGCCTATCCCCGAAACAACATCGTCGTGATTTGTTGGCGAGAACGATTGCGAGAATTCCATCAATAAGCTGAAGCGTAATCGAAACATTCCTCATTCGCTCAGAAGCCAGCTAAAATCAGTTAACAAGATTGGATGACAGCGAATTTCTCTATGAGAAATCCACGAAATGCTTCTGTATATAATTCATGTCGAAGTCCTCTTAAACGCTCTTTATAAACTTCCCTTTATTCTCCTAGTCCATTTTCAATTATAAACTTTCCTTTATTCTCTTAGTCCATTTTCAATCACCCCAGCAATGAACAAGGAATTGCTTACCTCTATGATCTCTTTCTAGTCTCGTAATACTAATCTTCTTTTTTGTTTGATTCGTGCATACCATCATTTTAACATTGTTTTTCCATATGCGATTGTTTCATATACTTTTATGAGCCTATTCTTCGGGTTTCAACTAGAGCCTTGAACAACTTCAAACGGGTCTAGGATTGAAGAATGTGATGAATGTTCACTCTTAATAAATTTTTGTAGTTGTGTTTGAATTTGAGGGTTGGCAATTCCTACGAAATGCTGCAAGCAGAAACGTGTAAGAGGGTTTCAAAGAAATGAAGCTTGTTGAAGAATGCGTAAAATTCAAAGGTCAATCAAAGGTCAATTTTCCGTGAGATTTCGGTATGTGTACAAAT